CTGAAATTATCCCAATAGCTTCTAGCAGTTTTGTACAGAGGTATCGTTACATCCTCTGTTCAGATAGTTTCACTTATTTCTGTTCCATGGCCCTTTCAGCTTCCTGGAGGCAGGGGACAAGCTTTCCTTTCTCATAACCGGCACTCAGCAGGCCTTGGCAAATGCTCCTGGCTGACTCTCTCTGTGGCTAATCCCCAAACCCACAGAGTGTGCACTTAATAAATAAGTAAACATTGCTGGTAGCTCAGCTACCAAAGAGTTTAATCAAAAACACAAGAAGAATAGACTTTAAGGCCAAAGATACCAATTTTAAGGGTTGATGACTACACACCAGCATCTTCTAAAAGTAAGTAAGTCAGAATTATGGAGTAGGAGGACATGGAAAGCTCATTATCTGAGCTTGAGTTCCCCAGAAAACAGAAGCATGTGCTGCTGCTTTATGAAGGGCAAGAATCCCAGGGAGCAGGAGTGAAGAAGGAAAGGTGGGAGAGACAGTAGAAGGGCGGGGTACCCAACAGAGCACCTTGTGGGCAGGACCTTCTTCTGAGAGCCTGCAGAAGTGCCTGCTTCTCAGAGCAGTCTGCCTAGGGAGGAAGAAAGGAGCATGTGGTTGTCTGCATTGGTTTTCTAGTGCGCAAGTGCAATAATTCCCCTGCACTGCCTGGTTACTGATGAGTGGGCACCAAGTTGGTTACTGATGAGTGGGCACCAAGTAGGTGCCCACAAGGTCTAGCCCTCAGCATCACCCCGCAATCCCCAGGGTAGAAGGCACAAGGTGCACAGTGTGGGCATAAGGCCCGGGGCCACTGGGCTGTGCCCACATGATGTTGGGGTAGTCTGTGTGGAGTTGGTCATGCAGCCACTGCTGGCGCTAGAGACCTCAGAGATAGAGGAGACCAAGAAGATCTGAAGGAGAGCATAAGAGGGGTCTTACCAATTATAATATCCTTACTTTACATGAAGGAATCCAAGCCAGAGTGGGGGATGCCCAACATTGTGGAGCTTGATTAGTGGAACTCAAGAAGTGGGCTTCCCACTCCCTACTTGGTGCCTTTTTACTCGTGTGCCATTTCTCTAGACATACAACAGATAGGGTACATGGGCGTTTGTGACTCATCGTTCTCACACTAGCCTTTCAAGTGTCTCCTACACTTGGTTCCTCATAGACTCCGTGAAATACTGTTCCAGAGGGCTTCCCTGTGGCTTACTTGGTTTCCTCTAAAAAACAACAGCAACAACAACACTGGTACCACAGAGCCAGAGAACAGATCAATTCCATGAACACAGACTCTGAAGTGAAGGAACTCCAACAAATGTTAAACCTCCGAGATGTGTGTTTGCTCCTTGCCTACTAATCTTCTTACATGGAACTCTAATTCATACTTAAATGTGATGAAACTTTTCAGCAGAGAGCTTCAAGAAGCCAGTGTCTTCCCTCCTGAACACAGGAATCTTCTTATAACGTAGTAGAACGTGTTCCTCCTCGTTCAGGTGGCGGTGTTTTTAGTCACAGCAGTGTACTTTGTTCTTGATGTATGCATATTGAATTCAGATGCTGACTCAGGTCTGGCATGACTTGCCAGAGAACAGTTATCAGAAAGAAGATGTCTCTATAGAAAGGTTGACATGCTCTAATTCAAGATGATGCCATAATTGCTCCCCTCTCATGCTAAAGAATTACAAAGCAATATGACTAGGTAACTCTGTGTTGAAAATTTTCATACCTTTTTAAAGGAACATATTCTTAATCCTAAGAGGGGAAAACAAGATTCAATTTATGGTTTGTTTTAAATCTTCTTATTTTGAATATCTGATTTGTATAACACAGCTTTATTCACACGAGTCTGAATTCTATTTATTTAAGAGAACAAAGTGCTTATGGTAATGGGTATGTCAGTCTTTGTGAATACAAGCTCTGTTATATCAGGTATTCAGCTTCCTGCAGGACTCTTTTTTTCTAGGACTCATGCATTTTTCATTGTCTAGTCGTTCTGAATTTAAAGTGGACAGGATGTCCTTCTAAACGCATAAACAAAGAAGATGAAAATGTGTATCATAGTCTGCTCTCCATTTCTGCTACTAAAATTATAGGAACTATGTAGCCTATGTTAGAATGCATCTGGTGTGCTATTCTATATACTACATGAATAACCAATCGCTCCCTGTGCAAAGTTTCACCCCACACCATATTTAGCATCCTTTTCGCAAGATAGCACCTTACCAGGCTTGTTCAGAAATGCATCGGAAAATAGCTTATTAATCTCAGTGTCTAACTGGCAGATGGAATACCGTGAAAATGGGGTTGTTTTTGTCATTTAGAGCTGGTAGTTTTTCAAGATAGAATAAGCAGCCATCTTTCAAATCTCCTGAGACTTCATTCTTTTCATTTATATATTTGTTCGCTTGTAAATTCATCCATTCATTCATTCATTCATTCATTCATTCTGTATTAAGTATCTATCTCCTTTCCACTTAATAATCTTCAAGGTACCAGGAACATACACATGAATAGAATACATTTTTTTTTCTTTTCAGGAGCTCAGAGCTGCACGGTATGATGAGTACAAGTAGAGGTGGGAATATACAGATGAGGAAACTTAACTCAGCCTCGGGGAGCAGGGAGTGGCAAGGGAGGTTTTCTGGAGAGAATGGCCCTTTTAAGATGATGAGGAGTTAGGTTGAAGGGACCACAGATCTACTTTGGTGGTTACCTAAAGGAAGAGAAGTTCCGAGAAATAAGGCAACAGTAAATGAACTGAAAAAATCCTAAAACAGAAGAGTGGTAAGGAGCACATTCTGTGAAAAAAATCACCGAAAGGATTTGTCCTGTGTGAAAAGAGAACAGAAGGGAGTCTGATGAAAGGAAGACAATAGAGGCAGTGGGGAGGTGGGATTAGGAGGGTGTCAACATCTAGGTTTATTTATGGTTTTATTCAGTTACTCATTTATTTTGCTTTGGTGACTAGGAACTGAGGTCAGATGTGCAGATTGCAACAACAGCTGCAGCTCTAGGTCCCTACAGTTGGAAAAGGACTCATAAACTAATCTGATCAAAGGTCCCTTCCATTCCTTTCTGTTTTACAAGTCACGTTTATTAGCATGACGAGTAAAATCATAATTTGCACCTTCTATCAAATCATAGCAGCCGCTGAATGACATGGCCACTAATTAAAAGCAGAAATTGAATGCAGCAGATTTGCCATTTTGTTGGGCTGAAGAAACAAGAATAGGCTTGTGTTGACCTTTTGCTGAAAGGCACTCATTACAGATGTCTTGGTGGAGGCGTTTTCATCAGTCAGCCTGGCTGGCTTTCTTTGTCTTCACCTTCCCCCGAATATTTCTGGAAACCAGCCACTTAGACTTCTCGGCCTGTGCTCTGTGCCCTCCGTGAGGGCAAAGAGTATGTGTTGGCCGCATAAGGACGCTGGTATTGCTCTGGTACTCTTCGTTCAACCAAAATTGGTCTTTAAAAGGCTGGAGATGACTACAAATCATCTCCTCTCGGTCCTCACTCTCCCTACCCTCTAAGCAACATACACTATTACAACTGTTCCCTCCATGCAAGTATCTGTTCCCTTGGTTTCCTAAACACCAAGAGCTATCCTGTTCTTCCCCTTAGCTTTCTAACCTCTTCTCACTCCAATGTTGTGCCTTTTCTTTCCCCCTTAGCCTCAATCTGGAGATTTCCTAGAGATTTTCTCTGGTCCTTCTTATTCTCTCTGCTGTTATCCCTTCCTTGGTGATATCCATTTCCAGGACCTTAGCCATCTCTTATGTGTATAACTTTCCGTATCACCCTCCTGGTTGACCTTCCCATTCACCTTTAATCCCATGATTCTGACACTGCTGGATCATGTGGAAGATGATCTGACAGCTCAAATTCAGTATACCAAAAACATTTCTTATCTGCCCACTAAAACCAACTCCTTATTATGATATTTAAATTAAAAAAATTTTCAATTACAGTTGACATTCATATTATATTAGTTGTAGTGGTTAGTCATGGGGGAGGGAATATGTAGCGCTGCAGATTCTCTGCCTAATGCTTTTTTTGGTTGAGAAATCCTACTCCTTGCTTATTTTACAGAGCTGTTTCTATAAATAAACCAGAAAAGCCAGATGAGACTGGGGAGGGCAGGAGTCTGCTTTGTATTTCCAGGGCTCTCCCTGTGTCGGGGCACAAAGGTTCATGTGAACATCAAGCCTTTGCAAAGTAGACCCCTTGACTCTTGCTCCCGATCCCACTAGAGTGGCCTCCAGGGACACTGCCAAGAAGAAGTCACAGAAAATATCTACAGATCTTGCAATATTTCACTTCAAGTGACCACTTTGGTCATTAAATTTCCTTCATGAATAACAGTTGTAATGTGTAAGCAATTATAACCTAAGCAGAGCAGAGTGGCTAGAAGTGCTTACTAATGCTTTCTAGAGCCAACTGGGACCCCCCAATCTGGGAGTGGAGAGGAGGTGGTCCTTCTGGATTTTCAGGGGTTTGTACAGCCTCTTCATTTCCGTGTTCCAGGATCCAAGATTTCTATCTGTAAAGAAAAGTCTCAGTTATTGGTATAAGAGCCTGATGACAGGGTTGGAATATGATTTCTCCTGGTTGGTGTTCAGATTCTCACTCAGGTTTCTGAACACTTGGTGAATTCTATGGCGGGCATCGGAATGGTGTTAACTTTCCCCACGGGCTCTGGAGGGCAGTGGCTAGAAGCCAGGGTCCTTTAGAGAGATTTCGTCTCAATTCCCAGTTTTATCACTTCGCTACTTCCTAGTTATGTGACTGGGAGAAAATTCCTTAAGCTCTCTAAGCATTAGATTTTCCTCCTATAAAACCTCAGTAACAATTGCACCTTCCTCATAGCATTGCTGTAATGAATTAAAAGAAATACTGTGTATTGCACTTAGCCCAATGAATAGCATAAATGCTCGATAAATTTTAAATGTTGTTTAAATGGACTTACTGCTGATCTTTGCTGTGTTTCTCTTTATTTTTCAGGGAGATGTTAATCTCTGTGGCTCTAGGCCAGGTGTTGTCCCTCCTTATTTGTGGAATTGGCTTGACCAGCAAGTACTTGTCCGAAGATTTCCATGCCAACACACCAGTCTTCCAGAGTTTCCTCAATTACATTCTTCTCTTCCTGGTCTATACCACCACGCTGGCTGTCAGACAAGGTAAGCATGCAAATACACCGGCCATGTAGCCAAGTTTCTCTTTTACAAGCATCTAGAAAAATGAGGCGCCATGACCAGATAACTTTTTCACTTATAGCATCATGTGATAATTCAAAACCCCATACCTCACTTTTCTATTTTACAGTCATACAGTAAATGAAATGAATGAATAAATCACAAAGAAGTATAAATTGTGTGAATTCAGTGTGAAGTGGGAAATGCATGGATAGGCAGAAATGTACAATTGCTCACTATGTGAATTTCTGGTAAAATTCCTCGTACCCCTTTGTGAATCTAAATAGAGTGCTTCTATGGAACCTGGAACAGGCCCGGTACAGCTGTCTTAAATAATGGTAGCCCTGAGAAATTCAAGGGAATTACAGACAAATATATGTTCTTTGGGAAAGTGTCATGGGAAGGGTAAAAGTAGTAAACACAAAACAACTCTAATAATAGCAAAGTGGGGAAGGAAGAAAAGAAAACTACCACAAATGGCCAGGTAAGATGTTCTGTCTAAACTTAAAATAGCTAAAGCAATAAAACAAGACCTCCAAGAATCAATGCAAGAAAAACATTTTAAGGGGCGATTGCAGTTTAAATCCTTTGGCTATATCTCTGGAGCGTATACCTCACAGCTTTATGATTAAACCACTGGATCTGGTGTATACATTTTTATCTATGACCTAGAAATAGCCACGAATTTCCCCCCAATAGTAACTATTGACTATAAAATGTGCATTTGAAAAATAATCATTAGTAACTTTGAAGGCAATTATATACCTTAATAATAAATAAGAATCTATGAACAGTTGTATATATCAATTCTAATAGTTATATATTTTTTAAAAATATATTTTTATTGATTTCAGAGAGGAAGGGAGAGGGAGAGAGAGATAGCAACATCAGTGATGAGAGAGAATCATTGATTGGCTGCCTCCTGCACCCACCCCCTCCCCCCAACTGGGGATGGAGCCTGCAACCCGGGCATGTGCCCTGTCTGGGAATTGAACCGTGACCTCCTGGTTCATAGGTCAATGCTCAACCATTGAGCCATGCTGGTTGGGCTAATAGTCATGCTTTTAAAAAAAAATATTAGCTTTATTGTTGAAATTATTACAGATGTCCCCTTCTTCCCCATTGACTCCCTCCACCCCGTACCCCACCTCCTCCAGGCTTTCATCAAACTATGGTCTGTGTCCATGGGTTATGCACATATGCATATAAGTTCTTTGGTTACTCTCTTTCCACCTCCCACCCACCTTCCCTCTGAGATTGTCAGTCTGTTCCATGCTTCTGTGTCTCTAAAGTGATGAACATAATAGTCATACTTTTTAAAAACTTTTATAAGAACTATATATTAGTATTTTATTTTTATATTTCCTTATTTAGATTACTATCCAAAATAATATTGCTTAATTATAATGATTTGGCCACTACTAGATTTTGTCTTAGAGGGAGAATAGAAATGAACAAGTTGGGACTGAATTCTAGTTGAACTTTGGATTTGTTTAAAGTACTGAAGAAGCTAATTTCATTTACTTCTCAAAAATATATGTTATTGGTGCTTGTTTTAGTTAGCTCAGTACAAGGAGTATGAATAAGAATAATAAAATTAAACTTAACACGATTTTGCAATACTTTAATATTACAAAAAAAAAATTCACATGAAAGTGGTAAATTTATCTTCTCTGTGGCGTTGAGAATCAAACATTCCAGACTATGAGAAGGCGAATTGTAACTAGTCTTTGAGTTCTTGTTCACCTTACTTTCTAGGGGTTCAGAAATTTAACAAAAACTTGCATCAGTACAAAAGTAGAATCAAGCCATTCTATGAAATAGTCACAAAAAGAGACAGAAAAGCTTAGAAAATTAATGTAGCAAAATAATAATAATAATACCTTTTATTGAAACTTATAATGTACCAGGCACTATATGTGTGAATTCCCTCTTTTATTCCTTCAATCAAAGGAAATACGTGTTATTATCCAAAAATTTTTAAATGAGAAAACCAAAGCTGCTCCAACATCCAGAACCTGCTCCAGGCTATAGAACTAGGAGTAGAGACCCGCCCTTGACCAGGGCTGTGTGCCTTCCTGGCCCACCCTGCCCACTCCAAGGGAGGCAAGAGGAGGAAAGAGAGGTACTTTCAAGCAAAAGGAGGGTGTTTCCCTTGAATTTTAAAACTCTAATTCAGAAACCAGCCCTTAATGCAAGGTCTAGTGGGCACAGCAATGAAATCAGGAGGATGTGGTCGAAGACTGGGGTGAGATGGGCAGGGTGTGCAGGGAGAGGCACAAGTGGGAGGAGGCTGAGGGCTAGAGGCAGCAAGGAATCTGGGGGCTCTCTGGAAAGAAGACGGAAGAGGGCCTGAGAAAATGCTGTCGACTCCCATCAATGATGAAGAAAACCAACTTCCAAAATGTTCTATCTGGAGATTTTTTTTTCCTTTGCCTCATATTATCACTAAATCTGCTGACATGTCTTTATTTGGGTGTTTGCTCATAATGTTTGTTTGTTTTAATCTTCATCTTTAGAAATCTTAATAGGCTGGCATTAAGCTAACATCTGGAAATCAGCGTCGTAATTGCATTAATTTTGTGTGGGCTGCTTCAGCACTAATGTTCTAGAAACATACTAATCTCTTGCCTCTTGCACCTCAAGATTTGGGAGGGAATGAACCACAGAGCAAAAGGAAGGGTGGAAGGTCTGGTGTGTACGGGGAGGTGCTCTCATAGCCAGTTTCCCCTCCTTTCCCATTGCTCCCTGACCACTCTCCTCAGAGGCTGAGATGAGGACCCAGGGAGATGCCATCTTCCCAATTTTTCCAGCACAGCCATCCCCACCCTGCTGGGCCGCCACATTCATTTGCTGTCACCTTAGGCCACATGACAGCAAGAATTTAGACTCTGGAATATATGTCTAAAGACATCTCATTTTCTAATTTTAATCATACAGTTTTTAAACAGTTATGATTGTTGTCTGTGAACACAGTGTGATAAATGCAAGAAGCACTTCAAAAGTGTTAAGGGTGCTGTGATTACAAAAGTCTTGTGGAAATTTGACCTCAAATTGTATTCTTTTTATCAAGTTTGCATTGGACCAATGATCAAAGACTCTGAAGCAACACATTCCAGCAAAAGTTCTGGTGGAACTCCAGTTCAAAACTGAAGTTTTGAACTTGTTCCTGATTATTCATTAGTCCCTGCAAAATTTGAGTACCATCCTCCTTAAAAGTATATATATATATATATATATGTCTTGTTGAACAAATTTTAAATCTATTTTTCTCCTTAATTAGAGCTAGGTTTTTATTCCAGATGGTTCTAAAATTCAAAAAAATCTCATGTTCATAACAAGCAACTTCACTAATAACTTTTGTAGGGGAAAAAAAGTACTTTAAAAAAGTAGTTCCATTAACATTGTCTCCACTTTGAGAATTTAGTTAAATTGAGATAGCTGTTACTTCTTTGTATGCACAAAGTAGGTCTTCAGGAACGATAAAGAAAAACTCAGTACTCCTCCTGTGTGTCTTTCCTTTACTCTCACACTACTACTACACTTATAACACTTCTGATACCAGATGTGTGGAGGTTTTTCCCACACCAAGCAATCTGCAACACCAGCTGGGTGTCCCACAATTTAGCACAATTCTGACACTGTCTACGTGGAGAAAGTTAAGGGCTCAGTTCCACAAGACTGCCCCCCTCACTCCAAATGCCAATTGCTTCTGACCAATGGGCTATATATAAATTGCAGCTTCCCAGGACCTCCTTCTTGGACATGGTAAATTTCTTAGAGCCCCTCCAGAGGAAAAATAAACTGTGGTCCAGTTTATTATGAAAGGATATGATAAGGGTATAGATGAACACACAGATGGAGGAAATGAGTAGGGCAAGGTATGTGGGACAGGGTGTGGAGCTTCCATGCCCTGTCTGGATACACCAACTGCCCTCTTAGCACCTCCACATGCTCACCAACCCAAAGTTCTCTGAACCCTGTCCTTTCAGGATTTTATATAGGCTTCATTACATAGGATCAGTGGTTCTCAACCTGTGGGTCGCGACCCCGTTGGCGGTCGAACGACCCTTTCACAGGGGTCGCCTAAGACCATCCTGCATATCAGATATTTACATTATGATTCATAACAGTAGCAACATTACAGTTATGAAGTAGCAACAAAAATAATTTTATGGTTGGGTCATAACATGAGAAACTGTATTTAAAGGGCCAGAAGGTTGAGAACCACTGACATAGGATGATCAATCATTAGCTCTACTGCCAGCCCTCTCACCTCTCTGGGGAAGAGGGAAGTGGGATTAATAATTCCAAGCATCTAATCATGGATTGCAGTTTCTGGTGACCAGCACCCTCCCCACCACCCCCTTCTCCAGGAGACCACTAAGCGTGATACCTCATTAAAACAGAAGGCATTCCTAGCACCCTGGAAATTCCAAGGTATTTAGGAACCTTGTGTCAGGTGCTCCTTGTGTTCTCATCACATAGGAAATTACAAGAGTGTTAGGAATTCGGTATCAGAAACTGGGGGCAGAAAAATATATATATTCTAATATCCCACAGGAATGCAACTAAGAAAGTCTAGTGAGAGTTTAAAAAACTTACGTATTTGCCAAGGAGATTCTCAAAAGAAGACTCTTTTTCATGCCTACTTTTTTCTTAAAATTTCATGCAGTTCCTCTAGCTGAAATCGGGAAGCAGAGAAACACAAATGCAAAGACTATAAACAAGAGGAAAGAAGAACAGGCTGGGTCTAACTGAAGCCCAACTTGTTCTTCCATTTGTGTTGTTAGCAGCAAGAGATCTGACAGGCTTTTAAAAACACAAAGGTGAAAATTGGATATATTTCTTATCAAGAAAAGAATATGTCATCGAACTGTTTGCCCAAGAGCTTTTTTTATCAACTGTTCCAAGAATCCTGCTGATTCTTGGAACTACTTTCAGTGCTTCTTAAATAATAAATACCCATGGTTCCTTTTTTGGCA